TACTTCTGATCATTGTAGTTTACTTACTTTTCATCTGTAGTGACAGTCTTTACCACCCCACTCCCAATTTTTTTTTTTGTTTCATGTCTGGCATAAAATTAAATGCAGGTATCTCTATTGAATGACCAACCCCAAGTTTTCATGCCAATTCCAATGTTGATTGAGTTGGGTCAAGTTATTACTTTGCAAATTCTTGTGGTTTTATCGGTGTTGTTTGTTCAAGCAATATTCAATTTTTTTTAAACCATTTCAACTGAATCATTAATCACCTTCTTTACTTCTGCTATCTTGCTCCACTTGAAAAGGAACAATATACAGTGACATCTCTCCTGTCATTATGTTTTATATATATTTTTCTTAACATAGGTTAAATAAAAACATAAGAACACGCAATGCTGGTTTTTAATCAGTTTCTATTTTTTATGAGAGTGATGGGAAATTTTCCACATATTTAATAAATCGTGAGGCATGCTGCTTATTTGTTTTTATAGAGTTGCAAGCCGATTCTGTTTTTATCTTGATTTTCTCTTGTTTTCTAATTAACTTAGATTTTTAGTGAATATCTAATTTTCATTATGTTACTTCAGTATTTTCATGGCATTTTGACTTTTTTGTTGTAGGACATTTTTTTTTTATTTTATGTCATTTCATAGCCATCTTAGTATTATTATAAAAAATATATATTTTTATAATAATAATTGCAAGTATATATGAGGCTGTACAAATTTCATAATCTTATATGAATGAGTTTTGACGGTAAATTTGATAAGATAATTTTGTTATTTCCAGGATAGAATTTTATATTTTAAAGCTAAATGCTAAAAAATGTCTAAGTAGTTTGATAATACTGTTGTCAATTCATTTTCTCTTATTTATCCAAAAATGATATTAGTGATATTGAGGATAAATTAATAGGTTGCCTCCCTTAAATAATAAGTTACATTTCGCGGAAAGTATTTCCAAGGGAGATAACCTTGATCACGAGTTGTTCCACTTGACTATAAAAAAAAACAAAAAAAAAACGCGCTGGTTGTTGGACAGCAATAGCAGAGTTTTATTGAGATAAAAATTAGTTTCTGTGTTTTAGTGCATGACTAACCAATAACGGGTACTATTTTGAATGATAAGGAATCGGTCGATTAAAAAGTATTAAAAATTGCTGATTAAACGGCAATTTTTTTTCTTTAAATTTCATATTGGTTTGAGATGCTAGCAAAATCAACCTTTGTTCCAGTTACAAAGTTATACTAAATAAAATATGTGGCTAAATTTGTATAGTAGATAAAGTTAAATACGACATAAACATTGGATTTGTTTCTAAAATTTGTTAGGTTTTTATCCTGAGAACTTTAAATATGTTTCCTAAGAATGATTATCATGCTTTTTCAAAGATTGTGAGAAAAAAAAAATGAATTAAATGTTTAATAAAGCATATTTTAAAAATGTTTCTTTTATTCATGAAAACTTTTTATCTTTCTTTTTAAAAAATAGTTATGTTTATTTTTAATACTTGAACATTTTTTTTTCTCTTAGAATGGTTAATAGGTGAGTGAAAGTTTTGTAAGGAAGTTAAAATGAAAATATTTGGAAATGTATTTGTATTAAGACTTAATAGGAAGAAAATATATTTCATGCTGTATAAGACAATCCTTTTATTATTATTTTTTTTTAAGAAACTCCTCAAAGAATATTTATATTTTTTGTTCTTTTTGAAGATGTTATTTGGTAGGCTAATATTTATCCTGATACTATAGACTACCTGTACTTGTACCTCACCTAACTCTGTCACATTTTAATATTATATATAAGTAGATATTCTTAAATTCTATCATGAATGAAATGTATAATTGATTTCAAGGACTGATAATTTTTATCTTATTTATTTTTTATTGATATCAGTAATAATTAATTTATATTAAGTCCTTGTTTTGCAATAATTGATTTGGTTAATTCTGCTTATTACTAAGAAATATTATTTTCTGATTAAATGTTTGAAATAATTCTGTGTATATCATATTTGTGTCTCTACCTGTATTTGGCAGTCATGGTAGGGGACTTTTTTTTAAAATGACTCTTACACTTGGTTGATCATTAATTTAATTTTTACTATTACATACTAATAATTGTCATACACTCCTTTCCTTACATAAATTTATTTTACATGAATGCTATTTTGAGTAGGCAGAAAATTTCAAATGAATTTGAATAAAAATAACAGAACACACACACATATATATATATATATATATATATATATATATATATATTTACAGACAGTGGAAATTTGCTTTTTGGAAGTATATAAGATTTGAAAATGTGGATGTCTATTTCTGTCTGTTCATTCAGACAGCTTAAGTTAAAAAAAAAAAAATTGAAACAGCATATTTAAATCCAGATTAGTATGAGTATATACAACAATTGAAAAAAATAATACACTGTATAAGCTTGTATGAACATCTTTTTGCATATCGGCTCTGATTAAGCCAATGTCACAGCCCCCCTTTCTTAAGATGTAATATTAGTTGATATCTGCATTATATAGTCATATAAGTTTGGAAACTAATAGTTGCACTGGTTTGTTTATTGACTAATTGAAGGTCAAAAGGTACAATATGCTGTCATTGTTTTATAGTCACAGTTCTATAAACAAAAATTGCACTTATTTATTTTTTTTAACTATGGTTGAAATCTTAAGTCAATTTTGGAGGCATTGCATATAAATTGTAAGATAGGTATATATTATGTCCATCTTATTCTATAAATAATCTATTATTGATTTTCTTCCACATTTTTATCTTTTTCATTATTTGGACTGATCATACAGTAAGATAGTATATAAGTTAATACTATTAAGTAATTATTTCTTTTGTTTGTTTGTTGTTAGATTAGTAGTTTTAAATTGGCTTCAGATCATCACCAAAAAGTACTTCCAGAAACTCAATGTGGATTCTGTGCTTCTTGTGGCCCAATTGATATGATTTTTTATACAAGGCAACTCTAAGAGAAAAGCAGGGAACAACAAAAAAACCCTTTTCTTCGTTTTCTATAACTTACATTGTGGAAAGTTGTTCATTGTTTTGGATGTCTCAACCACTTTATCTTTCTTGTTCAAGCAATGCATGCCAATATGTCTGAATGTGTATTCCACCAAAACATGCTATCAAAAGAATTTCCAATCATGGATCAGACTAAAAAAAATGGATCCATCTTGGCACCTATTATCCTTGTATCTGGCTGCAATGCTACACAAACTTTCCTCGGACAATCCGGGAGTTGACATCAGATATCGATATGATGGAGGATTTTTCAACCTTAGTAGACTTTGATCTAAACATCTAACACATGCGCAGCACATCTCAGAACTTCAATATGGTGATAACAGTACTTCCCTCTGTCTTTTTGTGAACAACTTTGCTATGGCTTATCATCACTATAGTCGTTCAGTAAACATCAAGAAAAATAAGTTCCTTGCGCAGCCAGCCTCAAATACCATCTTACCAGATTTTGATATTACCATTTCTGATACACCTCTTGAACAAGTAGAGCATTTTCCATATCTAGGTAACCCTTTATCAAACAAGTGTATCTCAGAAAAGGATGTGGACCACAGAATTGTAGCTGCACAAGGGAGAATTGGGAAAGCTAATCCAAAACGTCTTCAATAACAAAGACTTAACAACAAAATCTATGATCTTTGCTGTTGCCATTTCAACTATGCTATATGTCTGCAAGATATCCAAAAATTAAAATTTTCACCAATAAAATTAAAAATTAAAAAATAAAATTAAAATTTTCACCAATAACAGTTTCATGGAAATACTGTAAAGTCCTGGAAATAGCCAACAGTCAAAGCATTGAATTGCTGATCATGAAACACTGTTTTTGATGGTCAGGACATTTAGCAAGAATGAAAGACTCAAGGTTTCCACGTCAAGTTTATTCAGCGATCTCACTTCAAGGAAAAGACCACTGGGTTACCCTCTTCAAAGACTCAAGGACCAACTCAAAACAGCTTGGACTTGAGCCTAAATCGTTTGAAACACAAACCCATGACTGTACTAACTGGTGGTGTTCTATCGTCAGAATCAAAAACTTAGAAGAAAGCAGAATAGAAAACTAAGAAGTCAAACTATGAGAAAGGCTTGACATAATCAACCTCGTCCTTCACCAACAATACCATGAAGTCAATGTCATCGACTCTTCCATGCAAGAATTTGTCTGCTCAGTCATCTATGCCATCATAAAGAAAGTGACCAGCAAAGAAAAAATTAAATTCTTGGATATGAGATGAAGCTGCCGACGATGAGTAGTACTAGTAAAATTTTCTCAGTGAAATTGTATTATAAATATAGTTTAATTTCAAGGAAATTATTTTTTTTTTACCCATGTTCACCCAGTAAAAGGCCCAATATCCACTCAAGGTAGAGGGTTACTGTGTGGTGTTGTATGAGCATAAGAAAGGTCAAGAAGTGAAATTCATGTGGCTATGCAGGAAAGATAACAGTTAACTCTAGACATGAAGAGATCAAGATTGTTGTGATAGGGGAAAAAAAAAACAAGCGAATGAACAGACTTTAGAGGGAACCAGAAACCCAATTCTAAATAGGAAACAAGCGATAAAACTCTACTACTGTTCAAAAGACTGGGAGGAGTGTGAACTGGATGATAGGTGAACCTATCTACTCCTATTGAGATGTCCATTTTCTTTTATTTTGCATTGCTGTGCAACTGAGATGTGTCCCTAAGCTCCTTCTTGAAACTGATTATTCTTTGATAAATCAGTGACTGTGAAACAGTAATTGCAAAATGCTACTAACTTAATTAAAGGACAATCTGATAATGTTTTTCAGTTATAAAATATAACACTTTTTATAAAATCTATAAGTTGACAATAAATCTTGGTTTGTTTTCTTATAATTGAAAAAAATGATTTTAATAAAAAATAAGAGACTGTTTATTCTATTCCACTGGTCTGATATAATTTTTTTAAAATCTTTTAGGTATGTCTTGTTATGGAATATGCAGAAGGAGGATCACTCTATAATGGTAAGTATAAATGCTATGATTCTTTCAAATCTAGTGAATTTATTGTGGCCAAAGTATCAATATAAATCTTGCCACTTTGATTTCATCCATCTGCTTGCTTGATTTTATAGATCAGGGAAGTAGACAGTGTGTGCTAGATGTTATCATAAATGAGAAAGAGTTTTATTTCTTGGAATTTATGCTCCAAGTTTCCTTAGCATCTTTATACTGGCCGCTTCAGGGCATTTTTGAGGTGGGTAATTTTCATTGGTAATTGGAATGCCATTTTTGATTCTGATTTAGACTACAGGGGTAGTAAGAATGGCACTAACATTCCTCTTGTGGATTTATTGCTAAAATTGATTTGATTAATACATTTGTGGTGAAGGCAACCATAGTTGTTTCCCCCTCAAACTACTTGACTATAAAAGAAATGGTTGAACCTCATTTATGGACAGTAGGCAAATTGCATTGAATAAAGCTTTACTACAAGCTTAATTGTTTGTCTGTTTTTCCTTACAAAATCTGAAAAAGAACATCTGATGCAGGTGGAATAGACATGAACAGATAACAGCAGTTTGGTACAGCAGCTGTGATTAGGAATAAGTTATAGAACCACCTCAAATGCAGGATTAAGTCATTTGGTGCTGACTATAGCTTCCGACTTTAGAGAGCGCAATCAAATCAGGAGATTCTGGCCCAGTAGCTATAGTGAACACAGAAATGGCCTCCTTGTTTACTAAAAAAAAGACTAGTCTCTGGTACTTAGAGCTAGATTAAAAAGAATGATTTCAAAGGTTACAATGTAGCTATAGAATTGTGTACAGAAGAACTTCAGAATGCTATTGATTGACACGTTGCCAATGTCACATGGCTATATGGATGATGTTTTTCTATGAACAGAAGCTTCTTTGAACTGAGTTATTTTGTGACTACAGCGAAATGCTTTTTTAACAGTCTGAATTTGACCTTGAAATGACTGAAGTGTGAGAGTTCTATAACAGCACGAAATTCAGGAAACACTAGAATAGGTTGAGACAATGTTTTGTTTTATACTTGCACTGAGCTTGGATGAAGCAGGGATTTATTTCCCAGTGTTTTACCAACAGTATAATGAAGCTGCTTTGTGAGAACACACATTGTGGTGATGGGATTAGTAATTTGTGGCCCTTAATTATGTTAATCAGTTAAAGATTTTGGTGAAGGTTTAAGTAAACTTATTGCACACTGTACTGGATTATCTTAGTAACCCCTGAACAGACCTATACTGTGAATGTTAAGAGAATAACATGTATTTGCTAAGCATGATCAAAGTTGATGATTAAGAAGTCCTGATAAATTTAGATTAGTCCAAGACAACCATTATTTCTTGGAAGCTATCTTATCTGTGGCTGGAGTCAAATGACACTTTTGCTCCTGGATTTGCTTCTTGCATATGGAAGAAGTGAAAGGTGTAAAATTGAAGCTAGCAACATACAAAAACCTACTACATGCTATGTAAACCACAGCAATAATGCTTCTCAGACTGAGAGCTGTGGCCTTATACTCCTCAGTGAGTCAACAGGACATGAGTAAGTGATTTAAGGAAGTGTGCATAGCGTAGTGATTATCAGTGCAGAATTCAAATTCCAGTTTGTTGTGATCACTTTTGCACAGATACCCTTGGGAAAGGTATGAATCCATTTTCCCTCCCACTATGGATTAAATAAGGCATATGGCTTTTTAGTCTTGGTTGGCAACTAGTTTTATGAGAACAACTGAATTCAAAACGGGTTGGTTGTGGGGCTGGCAACTCCACTGTAAAAGCTTACTCGCTACAGAAACTGCAACAGCATGATCTAGCATGGGGAGACTATATACTCCTCAGGGAGGTTAACAGTACTGAGGAGGAGGTAGTAAGGTAGATAAATAGATGACCTTTCTATGTGAACCACCTTCAAAGTAATAATTGAACCATTGTGCCTAAAATATACATTTAATTCATTATTTTGCTCCTAATGAACAACTGAAGAGCTTCCTCAAGACCTTTTATTTTATAGTCTTAATTGCATTAGATTATTTATTTTGACTCTTGTATACTGGAGAGATGATTTTTATGCAATTATATTTATATTGAGTGAACAGATAGAAAGGTATTGTTTTAGCCAGCTTTGTCCTACAGAAGTCATAGTGGAATAATGGATAGCGACTCAAATTGAGGAATCTGAGAACCAAGTTTGAATTCCAGTTGTGTTCATTATATTCCCTAATGACCTTGGGAAAGGTATGAATCCATCTCTTCTCCTCTTCTCTTCTTCTATGTAGGTAAATAGCAGTACAAACTGTCTTATAGCCTTGGGTGGCAACCAGTCTAGTAGAACAACTCTGAATTCTAAACCTGAGAATGGTTGTTTAGAGTATGAATTGAGGGTGACCCACATCCTATTCTATGGTCTTAGGCTGTTGGTCAAGAGATGAGTGCTGCCAAGCTATTGGAAAGCCCACTGAAAGGACCTTGAAGAGGAAGAATCAAGCAACACCATTCCTGATCAGCAGATCCTGGAGGAGGTTGTTTATTTCTTCTGTTCTCATGTGCCCCTGACGATTGAAGCAGTCAAGGGACTATTGATGATGATGTCCTACAGTAGTGTTGTGTAGGAAGACTGACTAAACTTCTCTACACTTATTATTGAAACATAAATTTGTCTGTCCACTAAGTAAAATGTCTTCTGATGGAACTGTGGCAAAAAGTGGATTTCAAAGCCATAGCACTTTTCAGTTGTACACTTGTCACACTAAACTACTGTATTCTCAATCCATGTTCTCATGTGATTATGCCCTTCTTCACTAAACTTTTTTTTCCGGTGTTTTTCTTAGTCTTACTAACTACAAACTATGAGCAGTGTATGAACTTTATAACAAGTAGTAACAATAACATTTTTTCTTTTCAGTTCTTCATGGTGCAGGTCCACAGCCCAGCTATTCAGCAGCACATGCCATGAGCTGGGCCTTGCAATGTGCAAAAGGAGTGGCTTACTTGCATGGGATGAAACCCAAAGCTCTCATACACAGAGACCTCAAACCACCAAAGTAAGTACTGCATTATTTATTCTTACTATTTGTCCTTGCTTACTATTTAAGTTATTGTTTAACTGGCTACAGTGTATTGTAGACCTTGCATAGAAAATTGGGGTAAAGTGTGGATTAAAGTAAAATTTTGATTTATAAGTGATAATCAAAAAATGCTGTTTTAAACAAAAAGACTTCATCAATAGAAAACAAAACAATGAACTAAAACTTGAAGGAATTTACTCTATTATCTATAATGAGTGCCACAAAGAATGCATCAGAAACCTCAAGAGACTGAAATAAAATATATGAACACAAAAGGGATATTTTACAAAACAACACATTAAATACATTAGTTGCTCATCATAATGAGACAATATTGATATAAAAATTCTATCCTAATTAAAAGAAAACAATTCACTGAGATGAAAATGTTTAGAAAGTGCTTTAAGCAAAAGATTACCCACAGTAAATTTTTGTCCAGGTTCTTAGAATGTTTCACCATTTTTGGTAGATCTTCTATTATCACAGTGTGGGATATTTAATAACAATAATGAAAAGAAAAAGAATCTAAATTAAATCTGCTAGAATAAATATACCCAAAAGATATAAAAAAAAAAAAATTTACTTTTAAATTTAAAATTCCCAGCATTTCTTGTTTGTGTGCATGTATCGTCGCATCAACGTAAACAAACTTAGTCCGATGAATTCCTGAAGGATGAAACGCATCACATGAAAAACTTTTTCCACTTTGTAATGCATCTTTCCCCAAAAACAAATTTGTATAAATATATGTCCAATAAACTTGTCTGAATATCTTAGATGATGTAGTGATAGTTATTTTCTAGATTTTGTTTTTTATTGCCATGTTCACTTTATTTTGCATCTTAAGACCATTAAACAAGCAATGGATTGGAAATTTCTGATACACTCTGCTGGCTTCACAGTTGTAGAATGTAAAATGACCTGAGTATTGGTATTTAAAAAAACCAACAGAAATAAGATAAAAAGAAAAAATAGTAATGCCCCTACCCATCACTAGGAAAAAAAACTCATTTGTACATTTTATTTCTTGTAAAATATGGTATTTTACTTTCTTCATGAAATGGTATGAAAACAGATTTTATATATGCCTTATTTAATTACTAAATTTTTCTGTTGTATCAAATAAAACTATATTAATAAACAGTTTGCTGTACTTGAAACAATGGAATATTTAGTCCTTTCTTATCAAAGTCTTCTCATTCTCTTTCACCCCTAATAGCACCTTGTGTCTTAGTGGCATTATCTCCTTGCTTGGGATGAATTTAAAAAAAAAAAATTAAATTTTTGAAGATTGTAAGTGGTAGGAAGCAAGAAATCAGAAGGGAGTCCCATAGGAGGGAAGTGAGTTGCATTTAGGTAGTTTAACAGTAAAATGGTGAGACCTATTTGCCACTTAAATTCATGCATTTGAGGCCCCAATGAGGAAAGCTTATCAGAACAATTGACATGAAAATATTTGTAGAAAAGACAGGCAGAGTTCCAACTCTTTTTAGGAAATCATGTTTCAGGTCATTTCTAGGATATTTTCCAAGACAGCACTCTTTCATGGAGGTTTCATAATTTACCATTATGTCTAATATTGACGCATTCAACTAGTTTTATTCTTACCTTTTTTTATGATGTAGAGTTAATGATGAAGTATCTTGGGTTCATTATTGACAAATATATAAAAAAAGCCTCTCCTCACTAAAAAAAAAAAATGTAAGTTCCTGTCTGGTTACTTGCCCTTTCCAATGCTAACTGTTCTGGAAATGGGTGATCATTCTATATTGAATTAAAATGTGAAAGTTAACCCCCTTTTAAAATGTAAAATAATTTTTTTTTTTTTTATGAAAAATATTAAAATTGTGGTCTAATTAGTCCAAATCACAGAAAAAAAAATTACTAGAAAATTTTTTTCCTGGTGAATTTGAATGGTTCTTATGTAGAAATTTACTCAATTTTCTTTAATGAATAAACTAAACCCTATGAGGTGTACTCACGATTTTATTGCTATTAAATTAATACTTATCAAAAAAGAAAGTTTCTTTAAATGAATATCCTTTTTCACAAGGTGTAATCTTTTATTCAAATAAGTACTCTTTATTTTCCCAGATTTTTCTCTGATATTTATAAGTAAAAATAGTTAAACCATATCAACTGATTATTTGATATTAGCAACATGGGCTTATCTGCTATTAAAAGCCATGTCAAAGGACAGGGACACAAGGCTAGAGTAGGTCAAAGCAGTGAACTGCGAATGACTGATTCCTTCAAACAACCTTCCACCCATTTCAACAATGGCAGAGAGTCAAGAGATTAGAGAAGTCCAGCCATCAACTTCTGAAAGGTAGCTCCATCCCAAGTTACACCCCAAAATATTTTTCAAGTGAAGCTGTTTTGGAAGCAGAGATTCAATTGGTGCTAAAAAATGACCCTCCCTCTCTCTTTTTTTCAACTCCTGTTTGGATTTGGGCATGTTGTTTGCTCATATGTTTCCTGGCAGTAACATTGCCAAAAAAACAGCATACCTGATTTGTTTTGGTTTGACATCCTATTTTAGAGAGAAACTTACAAAAAGGCATGAGACAATCAAATTGCTATGTCTTTTTATTTGACAAATGCCTGAATAAGGTTACTCAGACTGAGCAAATGGACTTAATTGTTCCATACTAGAGTGAAGAGAAGGTAGTAGTAAATTACCTTGACTCTCAGTTTATGGGACATACCCGAGCAGAGGTATTTGTTGAGAGAATGAAGAATTCTCTATTTCCACTTGATCCAGACAAGCTCCTAAAAGTATCTAAAGATGACCCATGAGTAAACTGGAAGTTTGAGATTATTTGAGGAGAAAAGAAGCAAGGAGGATCCAAATGCTTGAGGTTTAGTAAACCTTGGTAGCTGTGGTCTCCATACAGTTCATGGGCATTTCCAATGAGGCAAGAATAGAAGATTGAAGAAAGTCTAAGAGCCATTTGGCAGGTTTTTCATGATACACAAGGTAGGCAGGATGATTTCATTGAAATCACAAAACTCTCAAAATTCCCCCTCAAATTGTGTGCTCATAGGTGGATAGATTTGCCAGTGGTAGTGTGAGCCATTGAGATATGGCCATCTGTACAGAAATTTATAAACCACGATAAAAAATTCTGAAATGTCGGAACCAACATCAGTATCCTGTCTCATAGTAAAAAAGGCTGTTGGTGATCCTTTTCAAGCTACATTTTTTATATCTATATTGCAAAGCTGCTCAGACCCTCCTTTGAAGGTTTTTAAAAGGATGCCCCATGGTACCTCTCTTTTGGCAAAAGAGCTTAAATCCATCCTGGTTAATTTGCTTTCATGCTTCATGAAGAGAGATGTACTCGGGGCCAACAGTGCACCTTTACAATTTCTCAAAATTAATGTGTTGAACAAAGAGCTTCATGTACCATTAAAAGAGGTTGACATTGTCCTTGTCACCAAACATGCTGTTATCAAATTCTATGAGAATCTTCCTGGCAACCAACTGCTGGGCATACAGTTCAGGAAAGAATGTTTAACCTTCCTCTCTACAATAGCAAAGAGTCTACTGGAATTATGCGACAGTAAGATATTTAAGACCTCTTGATCCTTTGTTCATTATTAGTGAACAGAGGAGTGCCGTATTAAAATTTGAAAGCTCTTCCAGCTGCTTTTGAATGCCAAATGGCATACTGCACAGCAATGTGGCCAAATTCTTGCTGAATATAAAAGATTACTCAAGAAAATAAACAAGAGTCTGTAGAGTTTAACTGTGGAAGTAACTCCTGTCGAATACACATTTCTAGGAAATTTTTTAAGTAAAGTAGAATACACAAATCTGTGAAAATTACTGAAAAACCTTTTCACATTGTCACGTGGGCAAGCAGCAGTTGAAAGCTGATACTCTGTAAACAAGGACATTTTGGTAAAGAGAAGACATTGATTTCTCTAAGGCTTATAGAAGATTCATTGTTGGATGGCCCATTAAAAACAATACCCAAATCCCTAATACATCATTGCAAATCTTCAACAATGATGTATGTTAGTTATTTGGAGGAGGAAAAGAAAAAAAAAAGAATCTGCAAATGAAATTAAAAATTAAAAGACCTCAGCTCTAAAATCATAAAAAATGGCCACAAAGATACAGAAACTAATAGCCAGCATCAAAGTATTGCAGCAAGAGGTAGATGCAATGGCAGAGATGGCTGAAAAAAGCAGCACCTTACACTGTCTGCAAAATCAAATGCCTAATGCAAAAGTATTGGAGAAAAAAAAAAAAAAAAAAAGAAGTGACCATTCTAGATATGACTTTGAATTAAAGGAAGAAAGATTACAAAGTTATTCTTACTAGAGCTTCATGTGTAGCAATTTATTTTCAGTAAATCTAAGTCAAATTTTTACTCTTTGCGTTTTCTTTTATTTTTTTTATTTTTATCTCTGGTTATCTTTGGTTATTTGAGTTTGACAAAAGCAAATTTAACTTGAAATCTTGATTTTAGTTCATTTATGCCAATGTAGCTATAAGGATGCTTATAAAATCCCATTATTATTCTATCCATTAAATCAGGTTGTCTCCAACTGAACCCAAGATACTTCAGTTACTATTTTTCAACCTAAAAACGTTATAAATCATTTAAGTAAAAAAAGAAAAAAAAGAAAAGAAAAAGAAGTTGTTTTAACCTAATGCCCAGCATCAATTAGTTTCAAATAGGTTATTCCTCTAAAAGTAATGTCTACCAGCCTTTGTTTGTTTTTCAATTTTTGTCCTACAACCATTTATTTTTTATGATGTACCAGAAGAAAATGTTATCCATTAAAAGTGAAATTAAAAATTTACTGTCAAGAAGAAAAAAAACACTGACAAACATTACTGGTAATTTAAGCAATAAGTATAAAAATATAATTTTTATAATTGTGTTAAATTATTTTGGTGAGCTTTTGTCCATTTTTTTCAACTTTTGTTTTAAGAAATAAAATAAAAGTAGTTTCTACTTAGATTCGTTTTTACTTGAATTACATTGTACACTAACACTAGAAGCACTAATTTAAAGTTAAATAAATATTAGACAAATAAGTTGAAAACAAAAAAGTAAACAAAAACATTATTTTGAATTAAACCTTTGTCTTTTTTTTTTTTTTTTTTTTTTTTTTTACTTATCAATTTTGAATGAAAATGCTCCATTATGTTTCATACTTACATTCAAAATTAATTCACCTAATATTTTCAGTCCAAATTGACTATTTTATTCCATAAGTGAGTCGTTTTGTAAACTAACGAAAAAAAAAAAAATGTAATTGAGCAATAATTTGTATTTATAATCTTTAGACATTCGTTTTGGTTACTATAAAACCTGAAATACGAAATCCAAGGGAAACAATCTTTTATATCCACCCTGAAATTTGAAACACGTTTATACATTTAAAAAAATATCCAGTTTTGAATGTAAAATATCAAACTCGAGTTATATTTAAAATAATCCAGAGTATATTTGTTAACTGTAACAATAACATTTTTGTGATTTGAGGTCCTCAGATAATTTAAATTTTCCAGGACAAAATATGAATATTTTCCAGGCTTTTTGAGAAAAAAACACACATTTTTCCAAGGTTTCCACTCCAGTCCTGGAAAATTTACATTTTTTTCCAGGGTGTGTAGGAACCCTGACAGAGGAGAACCATGTTTATTTTCTTTTCCAGTTTTAAGAATTATAATTATCTCTTATTAAAGCTTATATATTGTTTTTATTTGTATACAAAATCATATTGTATAAAGCAATATTTTATTTTATTTGTAAAATGCATAAATATATTTGTAAAATGGTAATATATTTTATTTGGCACAGGAGATTTGAAACAACTGATAATCAGTTTGCATAGTATATTACTTTTTGTTTTGCACAGTTTAAGAAGCTAATGTAAACTTCAGATTTAGGTAATCCTTCACTTAAGTGACATAAAATAAACTGCTATTCCCTGAATGGCATAAAATCAATAAGATCAGGGTATATACATTTATTGCAATTAAACATTATTACAGTGGCTAATGGTGGACTACGCAGCAAATAAATGTTGAAGACACGGGACTGTTCTTGTATTGCAGGATCCACAAAATGCTGATGATGAATAATAATGCCATGAGCTTATATCCCATAGTTGATTTCCTGGATTTCCAGCATAAGTGGCCCAGCCATCTGAAACAATATGGCTTCCAGGCAGAATATATCACATAATTACTTCTTTCAGAGCCTCTCCTCACTGATTTGGCACCTCCATTTTCTCAAAGCCCTACTCAATACCACTAAATAATCAAATGGTCAAGATGCCATTGTTCATGGTGATATTTATGATGAAAAAACATTTAAAGATAAAAAATAATTTTTGTTTGAATTTCTGGGATGAGGAGTTATTTACTCTATATTTGGCTGAAACATTGTGATAAAAACAGCAAAGATGAAGACAATAGTCAGAATATAAATATTGTAAATATAAAATGATAGTTTATTCTATGTTGTTTAAATGAAGCAGAACTTTGACCGATTATTTATACCATTTATGTGAAGGATTACCCAGATTTATTATCTTTGGTCCTTTAAGGTGGAGTGAAAATGCGGGTTTCTGTTATTTATCCACAAGTTACCTTGGGGTGGCCATTTATGAGAAATAATTCAACATTACAAATTTTCTAACTGAGCAAAAGAGTTGTATACACTGTTTGGTTGTTTTAGATTGGGATGACAAATTATTTAATTCATACAGGTAATCAGAATTGCTGAAGTATTACATGTGAATAGAAAGATTCATTTTGGCCTATGTTCCTTCTGATATTAAATTTTTTGTTTTTTACACAAATATGGTAATTACTAGAGTTATGCATTCATTGTTACTAATAAACTCAGTAGACCAATATATTAATACAGTAATAACTATCTCACTTTCTATATAATGTTTGTGTCTTGTTTAAACAGAAATTGTAGCTTCACCCACTTATAAAAAATGAAAGCTGTAAAGAAGTAATAAAACTGAAGATGCTCTAGTCTGTTTATATCAGGGGTGGCCAAAATTGCTTAATGTAAGAGCCACTTATGATAGTTCAGATGTTTGAGAGCTGCAAAACATAACAAAATTTATACTTCAGTTTTTGTTGCATACACACTAACATTAAATTAAAGTTGGAGCCTCAATTCATAACCAGTAAATAATTATAAACCTTGAAATTTTTTTTATTTTTTATTTACCTTTTTATCTTAACTGTGATGAGAGGAAAAAAAAAGAAAAAGAAAAAAAAAGAGGAGCTCAGTCAACATATTTCAACAAGCTGCATATTAAAAGTCAGGGTCATGTGTCACTCATGAGCCACAGTTTAGCCACTATATCTTTCTTTCATCACAATCCATTCCTCTTTTCCTTTGTCTCAATTCTTTTTTTTGTTTTCCTCTAGCTTTCTTAATTACATTCTATTTTTCCAACTTTAAATCTTTTTTTTTTCTCTTACTTTTTCAAATTGTGTTACCATGTAGAAATGAAGAGAAGAGATGGGCAGTTGATGACTGCATTGTGTGTGTGTATATGTATATGTCTGTAACACTTTTCACTGTGTATAGAGATGTTGCACTAACCCTAAGTAGAAGTGGCTTATGATCATATCCCATTTAAATGCTGATTCACATATGATTACCAAATTTAAGTAACATTGAGCCTAAATGGGTGACTGCTTGGGAATACTATATGCTGTAAGCTTGGATGTGTAGGTGGTGTAAAGGATAACATCTCTGGATTGGAAATTGGAGAGGCGAGTTCTAATTCTAGTTGGGTTCATGATATTCATTTGTATTGCAAATATTCTTGGGAAGGCTATGAATCCACCTCTTCTCTCTCCAGCTATGGGTTAATTAGTAGGATTTGTATTGCGAAATCATTATCTCCCCCACCCCAAAGTCTTACAATCTAAAAATATTTTCTAGCTTTGAATAACCGACAAAACGGTTGATAAGCCATAAAAAAAAATCAATCAATCAATCAAACCTAGGTAGAAGTGTTTTAAGACATTTTATGTTTATATATTCTTATTATAGATACAAATATTTAAGTAAATGCTTTGTTTATAATAAACAGTATTAAACAACATTTACTGTCCTGAGTGTCAGAAATTTTCACTGAAAATATTCGTCCTCCGATAGGATACGAATCTGTATCCTATATGGAACTGTCATTTAGCTTGACGTGCTTTTACCAATTTGGCTGCAGAGGCATGTTCGGTTAGCATGGCCGAATTTACTGTATTTAAACTTCAATCTTCCATGAATCTCACACGTACATTCATATCTGCTCATGGCATATTAAATGTAAACAAATGACGTCACACATTATGAAATGGACAAAGTTCAACAATTATTTAAGACATTTTATGTTTATACATTCTTATTATAGATACAAATATTTAAGTAAATGCTCTGTTTATAATAAACAGTATTAAATAACATTTACCGACCTGAATGTCCGAGAAATTTTCACAGAAATATTCTATTGATTTTTCATTTATTTTATTTTTTTTTTAATTATTTTGAAAATTTTGTTTTTTGTTTTTCTCAGTTTGCTGCTGATTATGGGTGGAACTGTACTGAAGATTTGTGACTTTGGTACAGCCTGTGAGTTTCAAACTCACATGACAAACAATAAAGGCAGTGCTGCTTGGATGGCCCCTGAAGTTTTTGAAGGTAAGTTATAAAAAGAAAATATGTAATACTAGTTGGTAGCAAAGGTTAAATTTCTTGGTTTTTAGCACATTCAGCATAAAATGACTTTAATTAACAGGGAAAGTCATGAAACTGCTAAGTGGCAAATGATATTAGTTATATAATGTTTCCCTATTTACATTATTCGAACTATTGTCCTCATCTTTGTTGCCATATTTATTACAACATTTCGGCTGTTGTATGATCCGGCCTTCTTCAGGTGGTTGGAACGTCGAACTGAACCCTTCATTTTGCTCACTGGGGTAGACTGTTTTAGTTCCACATGCCATGTCTAATGGATGTTAGTTATCAGTTATCTCCTGTTAATTCTCTCCTCCAAGTTCTCCACCACCTTTACCAGTTATTGAACTCACACTCTTTGGGCCCTGTCATTGGATCTAACGCACGCCTTTATCCACTTGAGGACACATGGCACACTGGAGTGTACAACAGCTGAAATGTAATAAATATGGCAACAAAGTCTGAATAATGTAAATAGTGTACATAATACCTCATCTCAGAAATATAGTCAGATAATGTTTCCCCTTTATGATATTTGCTTCTGTAGAGTTGCATCTTGGATCAGCATCTGGTTAGGTTCCAGATACTGCTTCTTAGGTGATTACTGTGGCTGGGTGCAGAAAAAGTGGTATATTGGACCAGCATCTGGTTAGGTTCCATATGCTTAAATGATTAATTTAGGTGATTACTTTTTTACTGCTTCTTAGAAAAATTACTTTTGGGTGCAATAAGTTTGGACCAGCATCTGGTTAAGTTTCAATATTTTTCTTAGGTGATTACTGTGGCTGGGTGCAGAAAAAGTGGTATATTGGACCAGCATCTGGTTAAGTTTCAGATGCTGCTTCTTAGGTGATTACTGTGGCTGGGTGCAGAAAAAGTGGTATATTGGACCAGCATCTGGTTATGTTCCAGATACTGCTTCTTACCCATGACTGTGGCTTACTGTGGTATGGGTGGTTAAAAAAATTACTGTGGCTGGTATATTGGACCAGCATCTGGTTAGGTTCCAGATACTTTTTCTTGGACGTAGTGATTACTGTGGCTGGGTGCAGAAAAAGTGGTATATTGGACCAGCATCTGGTTAGGTTCCAGATACTGCTTCTTAGGTGATTACTGTGGCTGGGTGCAGAAAAAGTGGTATATTGGACCAGCATCTGGTTAGGTTCCAGATGCTGCTTCTTAGGTGATTACTGTGGCTGGGTGCAGAAAAAGTGGTATATTGGACCAGCATCTGGTTAGGTTCCAGATACTGCTTCTTGGGTCAAGTAGCATGATTGAAATGAGACCACACGGTCAAGAAATCACTGATGAAAAACACTTAATAAAAGAAAAAAAAATTTAATTTGTGTTGATTAATGTTTCAACAATGAGGCAGTACAGCTGCTACTTGATTTTGGAAATAAGAGAAAGTGAAGTGTGTCAAATAGGTTTCCCTCATAGTTTTGATAGGGCTGGACACTCATCTGACCAAACAATTTCTCTTTTATGCAACTTGAACTCCTCCATCCAGTCAGCTTATTTAGGAAAATTCATAAATCACAGTTCTCAGATCATAATATTTTTGTCAAGACTGAGTCGTGATAGATAAGAGTGTTGCCCTCAAGGGATGTGAAGTCATCCCCTTTTAAAGATTTATTCTTCCAATCCCAGCTTGTTTATTGAGCATCATTGTATATCGCTGCCATCCTTGTCTTGATTTTGTCCTGTATGTGTTATATATATATATATATATATATATATATAATGTGCACACACTGCTGTGACTAATATCTACTTTCTAGTGATGATAGTCTTTAATGAATCTCCATTATTCTGTTAACTTTATTGTGGGATCGGATAAATAATCATTTTTAGGGACTCCTGAACTACCTGTCTCACAAACAGTAGTTAAAGTCTTGTTTAATTCAAGATAGCAAAATTCGTCTAATAACTTTCAAGCTTAAAATGCTAAGTATGAAAGTATTGTAGTTTATCAATGAGTATTTGTATCTTTTATATAAAGATGAATGCATGTTGTGCATTGAATAAATGCACTGCATATGTCAGTCAGTCATGTGCCATACGTGATACATGACTAACGAGGCAGATTTTTTCCCCCCGCATTAGTTTGTCATTTCTTTCTGCAGTAGATCAGTTGCCATCCAAGTCTGTAGAACCTGGTCTGTCCTGCTATTTACCCATAACTGGGAGGAGGAGAAGAGGATTCACACCTTTCCCACGGGTATTAGCATGTAAGTGACTGTAATGGATTCGGATGGAATTTGAACTTGGCTCTCTCTTTCCTCAATCCGAGTCACTATCCATTACTCCACCATGCCTCCCATTGCATATGTACTGAATTTTATTTAAAATTTCTTTTTAAATTGATGCTCAAATGTAAATTTTGTATTTCCTACACTGCAAATTCTTAATACACAAGTGTAAAAGGTTATTTTCATTTTAACCAGACATATTAAAAGAATTTTGGGAGTCTATGCACAGATGATTTTCTTATTGTATATACATTGTGATAATTAGATGAAGTTCTTGAAAATTCCTTTAATATTTCTTGTAAAAAACATGCAGAATTAATAATCACGATTCCAGGTTGAAAACATTTGGCATACACAATTGGAGAAAAATATGAAATGTTATAATCATTTTTTTTTTTTTTTTTTTTTCATAATTTTAAAAAAGAATTAAATCAGTAACATGTAGTTTCTGTAATGTTAAAAATGTTGTCTTTTATTTATAGCCAAGTATTTAATTGTCATTGTTGGCTCTGATTTCAGGATGCAATTACAGTGAAAAATGTGATGTCTTTAGCTGGGGCATAATTTTGTGGGAAGTTTTTACAAGAAAGAAACCATTTGATGAAATGGGTGGCCCAGCATTTCGAATTATGTGGGCTGTGCACAATGGTAAGTATATTTTTATGTACCTTTCTGTTTGATTTCTTCTTACACTCCCTTATTAACTGTTTTTTTGTTATTGGCCCCTCTTCTGCTCTCTCTCTTGTTATTGGCCCCTCTTCTGCTCTCTCTCTCTTGTTATTGGCCCCTCTTCTCTATCTTTTTCCCCTAAATGTTTTGGCCCCTCTCTCTCTCTGTCGTTTTGGCCCCTCTTCTCAAAACTATCTCAAAAACTTTTGAATAATTTTTTTTTTTTTTTTTTTTTTTCAAATCTTTTTTTTCTTTCAAAAATGGAAATAGTCAAATTTCTTCATTTTATTAATTTTAAAATCATGAAATGTGACTTGATCTTGGATTAGATAAACCTGTTAAGATTCCAGTGAACATGTCTTTTCTTTACTTTTCTGAGAGTTTCATGGCTCTTCATAGATTCTTTTTTATTAGCTGTGACTTTGTGGAAAATATATGCGCAAATTTAATAGAAAGTCTAGTGATGATTTGGAAGCCATCTTAACCCAGATAAAACAAATACTAATTTTTCAAGTTGTATTAGGGTGACAAGATGCAAGAAATTGTCATATTTTTTAAATGGATTTTTTTTTTTTATTTATTTATTTATTTTTTTTTTTCTTTCATTTATAGAAATTGATAAAAACATTGTTGAATTGTGTTAAGATGAGATTTGTTCAGTGTTTGCAAATTCTTAATTAGTGAAAGTATTTCATCTTTTGATAGTTAAATTTCTTTTCGATTTATTTTGCTGACTTGTAAAATTGTTCATTATTATGATTCAAGCTAAATTTGTCACATAGTTTAAAGTAACTTCATTGCTGATTTGATTAAACAATTAATTTCTCAAATTGACCAATGCAGTATTTTACATGCTTAACTTATTTAACTAATATAAAATTTAACAGTTAATTTCCACTTTTCTCGCAGACTATTGGCATTGAATTTGAACTTTATTTGGTGCCTATTATTGTAAGCTGTTACCATATCAAGTTTAATCGTTTTAAATTTCTACCCTTTTCCTTTTTTTTCAGTAGTAGTCGTCACACAAGAGTTACTTCCCTTGTAACAGTTTCAAACAATTTGCTTCGTATTTGTTAATGCTAATTATCTCCCTTGTTTTTCCGCTTAAAATTGAATTTGCAATATTTTCATCAAAGATGTAAACGTTATAAAGATACAGTACTCAATGTAAAATATAAAAATGCAGAGCAAACATGTTGCAGGAAAATCTAAGAGCAAGTAAAGTCCATCTCTTTATATTGTGTAATATATATTGGGTTGGTGCATAATTATCAGGCGTTTTTAAAACAATATTTATTATGAAAAAAGAAACAACAATTCAACAATAACTTTTTAAATGTGTATGATCATCAACATGCATTAAAATAAAAGAATATTTTTATTAAAAAAAAAAGTAAACAAAACAGCAATTTTTATTAACAAATAACTTGCATACTACTGGTGTCACAAAATCAGTCAGTCAGTTATGTGCCATGCGTCATACACGCTTAGGTGATACATGAATGATGAGGCAGATTTTTTCCCGCAGTAGGTTGCCATTTTTTTTTGTGGTAGACCAGTAGTCATCCAAGGCTGTAGAACCTGGTCTGTCCTGCTGAAAATATAGCTTTATAGTGAAAGGATACATATGTTTCCTAAGAAAAAAGTGAATGTAATACATTTGACTTTAATTCAAACTTGGCTCTTTGATTCTTCTTCCGAGCCGCACTATCCAAAAAAACTCAGACCCGTGCCTCCCCATTAAACAAGGTTGAAATCCTTTATCAAAAATTCTTGGGATTGGAAAATAGATTTTTTTTCAGATTTTTTTTATTTTGGAATACAGGCTATCTAATTTGCATGTAGCATCTATAAAATGGGGCAACTTGCAAATGGAACACAAGTATAAACATGATATCCCATTTCATAACATAGTTTATACATATACCATAAATAACATATACTCTGCTAGTAGTTTTATGTAAAGTTTAATAAATTTTGTGTACATACAGGTAATGATACTAGTCATGTAATGCTCACACAGATTTTTAAGTGGTGAAAATAAGATATCACATAAAAATAGTTTTGTACTTTCTGTACATGTACAAAAAAAACATGATCACTACTTACAAAAATATATAATTGCAGGACTTTTTGACATTTTGAATATCTTTACTGAGCATGAAACACCTGGTAAATAATCCATAAACAAAGGTGTTGTTGTGACAATCGCTAAAAAAAAAATACTGGTGCCATTGTAGGCTATGTAGATGGGCTGGGGAACTCGTTCTAGGGCAGATGAGGTCACTTACAACAACTTCACATCACCTAGAAACTTTCCTAGTGCTTTCTGAAATTTTCCGTTTGTGGCATATCATTTCAGCACATGAAAAACTTTCAGACTTTGGATAAAGGATACTCAACCTGTAGTCACTGCTTCTGGCATGCATTTTTAGCAGTAACACACAAGCAGTCTTCATTTGATAGGTTGACAGCTGCTGAAATACATTACCCATTATGTAACTGTTATACTGGAACACACCTATTCTATAGTTAATAGACTCTCCCACCTATAATAAGTAGGAGTAGTAGCAGTCGCCAGTCGCTCAGTGAGTCGCTCAGTCAGTCAGTCAGTCGATGTTGGATATTAAAGTATCAGCCACCACAACTATATTGCTGTGTCATTAACTATTATATCAAGTTCCTAACGTTTTGTACGTCAAACCTTTTTAGGACCGACTTAGTCAAATACAAGCCTCCACTGTGAAACTACTCTATAACAGTAACTATGCTGAAATCCACTATTTGGTTTCCATAATTGTTCAGCAATAATCAATGAATGCTAATGGTACAATTCTTTTCTACATGGAGGATTTCAGTTTCAAACCTCTGTTTTGTTTGCACTTTCATGTCAGGTATCATAGTGCCAGATTGCCGCTGTTGCTATCTGCAAGAAGGCAAAAAAATATTGAGTTACTGGTATGATGATTTAACCTGCATTGCTATACCACCAACATAAGAGGCATTACTTTTGAAGTGGTCCTTGTAATATATATTTATTGTGTATCTTTTTAATGATCTTATGAAATGCTATACTTTTGCCATATTTTGTTTAGAATAAAAGAGTAAAAAGCAAAATATATTTTGGCTTATTAATAGCAAAGAAAAATTCAAGTTTATTGCAATACTTTATTAGTCTTATAATTAATGTTATATTGTCATAAAAATGTTAATTTGTAACAATAGCTAACTTACAGATGGACATATATTTTTATTCATGCTTTTCTTTTTACTGGTTTTTGTTTATTTTATTAAATTTTTGCATGCTTTTCATCAAGAGGTAGCTTTTATTTATATCTAAAAATCTTTTCTTTATTGTTAAGTAAAGAAAATATTTTGAGATATAAAAATAATTATCTTCTTTTTTGTCTATTTTGTATTTGAGTTTAGGGATAAATTCATTGTATTTTATTACTGTGGTATGAACAACTATTTTAGTCCTATATTTCTATCATTTTATCAGTTATCTTAGAATAATCATAATTCTTCAAGTATTAACATCAAGAAAAAAAATTAAAAATATCTAAAGAAAAGAGGCTCAAACTATTTAAAAAGCAGGATTTGTTTATGAATAATCTAGACTGTATCCATTTTTAAAAATCTGACCAAATGATTCAACATCAAAATTTTTATTTATTTTTTGAAGAGCTTAGAAATATTAATAATAATATTAATAACAATAACACATCAATGCATCCTTATGTTTTTCTTTTTCACATATTTTTTCACACTCATAACCCCTTGTATCTTAGTGGTTTTATTGTCTTGGTTCGGGTTAAATGATTAAAAAAAAAAATGAATGTCATATTGTGTTACTCCATGGCTACATGTGGTTTGAATTAAGAGTTGTTGTTCTTCTAGACTGTTTACCTACCATGATTAGAGAGTTCAATCTACCCTGCTATTTAATCCATAGCTGAGGGGAGAAGAGTTGGATTCATTTCCAAGGGTATTTCTTCAATAGTGAACACAACAAACTCAGGTTGCTGATTTCTTGTTCTGAGCCACCGTTATACCACATTCATATACTTTATGCACACAATTCATCTCTATATCTGGATTCCTTGGAGTACTGATCATTGTGATTTTGTCTTGCTTATACTTTGTATTTATATTATATACATTTGTTAACCTGTGTAACATCTTATGAATACATGAAATACATTGTGTTTCTCTTTATATGATTATGTGCTCCTCCTTTTTTCTTCTCTGGAGTTTCATTTAATTTCAAGCACTGTTTTTATGGAATAATAAACACTATATTTATTAGATCATTTATTGGAATGGTTGGCAAAACATTGATTAATTGCCAATTGATTTGAACTTCATAAAATGGTAAATAATAATTTCCTTATAGTTGGTTCACATATTTTAATAATTTAGTAAATATTTATAAATTTCTGAATAAAAAAATTGTTTTCATATTTATTTCTTTATAAATTGGTAACTGATAAGTATTGCATTGTATTAGTTCTTAGAATGTTGTAAATATAAAATTATTCTTGTAAATAAACAATCTAATTAATAAATAGTGTTTAATTTTTTTGTTGTAAATTCAAAGAGCAAAAAATGTATAAATTTTCTTCCATATGTTTTATTTTTATTATACTTCTAATCATTGCTTTTTGAAACAATAAAACTTGCTGAGGAGTGAAAATAGTTAAAATAATAGCAGTGTCAAGGGAAAAACCATATATTTTCTTTGTGTGTGTGCACAAAGTTACATGTTAGCAGGAATTCTTATAATTAGTTGCATCTTGTTACCAGGCATATTAGAAACAAGCTTAAAAGCTGCCCTATTGTGTGGCATTTAAGATAATTTTCCCATGGAGGGCTCTTGATTGGGCCTTCATCACAATTAGGTAGGGAAGTAATAATGATAATCCAACAAATAAACTACACAGAAGAACTCAAAACTGATCACTGCATTTAAGTAT